CTCCTCCTCCTCCTCCTCCTCCTCCTCCTCCCACTTCCTCCATTTCGGGGAAGATGTACTTCCATCGGCATGTTGTGCTGTATTACGGCGCTAAGTTTAGCTGATCCTGCGAAATCGCTGACTAGTGTGCGCTGCCCTGGTGACGCCACATGAAGAATTGCTTGGATTTCGTGTGTGATTCTTCATTCGTTTGACCACCTGATGTCGGCCGATTGGTTTGTTGCTTGACTTGCTCTGTACGCATGGACTAACCTTCGGTCCTCTTCCCCTTCCCCTTCTTCTTCTTCTCCTACTAGAATGCGTGCATTCAGCCCAACTCAATGCTTCTTTCTGCCTAGTGGCAGGTCTCGATGTGCTGCACCTTGCCCACCGATCTTAGGGCATGCGAGCTGGCTATTGGATGTGGCGGAGAGGCGAGGGATTTTGCGCCACTAAACTAACTTTGCGGGTTCCAGCCAATGCATGCTGGACCCAGTAAGACGACAGCTGCCCATCGCCGACTGTTGTAGACAGTGTCAATTAGTCTTTGCACGGACAACTGTATACCTCAGCGCGATAGCATTACTGATTTGGGTAGAGACATCCGAAACAACAAAACCGATTTTGAGCTGGCGTGCAAAGAATAGGTGTTTTTTGTAGAAGCACATTCACCTTCCTCATTTCCACAGTCTCAGCAGATGCAGTGGCGGTCACTGGAGATCGTACAGCTCGAGTGGGCTAAGGGATCCGACGGTATCCTCGTGATGGTGGTTCGCTGCTCCAGTCAGTGCGTCACCTCGACCAATGGGAAAGCAGGCGAGGAAGGAGTCCCGGGTGGAAGAACGAGGGCAATGAGGCGTGTGAAGAACCAGAGCGAACGATCTGCTCTGCTCTGCTCTGCTCTGCTCTGCACTGCTCCTGGCATTGCCAAAATTGACAGTTAACGTGCAGTCGCAGTACTGGCTACAGACGCGGATGATGCAGGTGTCAGCAGTGTGGAAGGGGGAGAGCATGTCATCGATCCTGCCAATAACAGACTCAGTAAACAAAGCCAACAAAGAGGGTGAGAAAACGCGAGCTGTGAATAGACACTGCGCGAACACCTCCCGATGCGGAGACAGCTCATAGTGGGTACAAATGACCAGTCGCTGACTTGGATGAAGAGAGTGAAGGGAAGTGGCTGTTCAGTTGCACGTCGATACGAGGAGCTGCAGCAACGAGACGGTACAGTTTAGTAGGGAGAAGGAAGTACACATTGGCGAAGTGGATTACTTGTCTCGCAGACCCACCTCGACAGATACGCATGACGGTCAAAGAGGTGTTCATTTTGTGAGCGAGCAACAACCGACTGATCCCCACTACTACCTTCCAATGGAAAATGCACTGTCTGCGCTTGCCTTGGCAGACCTCTTTCGTCGTCCAGCTGGTGCGGAATGGAGAGGGGCCTCACTAACCGAATGCAAGCTCTTTCCCTCTACCAAGTTATCTCTCTTCACCTGTTTGTGGTTGGGGTTTTGCGGAGGAAAGCATGCGTCAACGAAGGTGCATGGAATGTGGCGGAGTCCTTCTTTTTGTGCCGAGCCCAATGACTGAATCCGCTCCTTCAGGCCAGAAGGTTGAGATAATTTCCCGCCTCCCACATATGAGGCACATTTGAGGAACTATTGAGTGCAACATCAGGTAGTGCAATGAAATGGACATGTGAGTACCATCTCAGTTACAAGACTCATAATGCTGAAGGGTCTCGAATGCTCAGCGTACCTGTAGAGAGGCTAGAGTCCTTCTCCCACCTCCCTCCTCCGCCTTCCCCTCACCTATGACTCACGTGCTGCGGAGGCCAGAACAATACTTCAGCCATTGGGTAACCTTATATCGTGCTGTCACTTGGAGTCCATAGCACAAGCAAAGCGAGTCTTCTCTCTGACTAAACAACTGTCGTTTTCTTCTACCGGTGCCAAAGTAGTGCCGTGTAGTTGTAGTAGTACCGGGCTGCATAACCCGTGTATATTGGCTTTATGCCATGTCACCGTAATGATCCAGACATCTACAGGACTCGAAGGCCACTTAACTGACAGAGCCACAATGACGTCAAAATTAACGGCTACCCACTGAGGCGGGCATGACGCAAAGCCCCATGCCACACTTGACTTGTTGATATGGAGATGGTGAAGAGGAACTAGTGATTTTCACGGTGAACAGGCCCACTCGCATGAACAAAATAGGCGTCAACGTGACCGCCACTCCTACAGCCAGCCGAACAAACGGAGTAGTTAAGCGTGCGCTGAGCAATGCGTTTCGTGCTCAGCGTCTATCTGCTAACATGGATGCTACCCAATTTCATCGTTGGCAGTCTCGAGAGGACGCACACCTCAGTTTACCACCACCAGTCAGTAAACAGGACAGTCAATTTAGGTATTTGGGTTTTCCGCATGGAACGAACCATCGGTCGAGCATCTAACAGCTAAGGAAATTGGACTAAATGTTGGTGCGCTATGCAATGCATGTAGCAATTGCACATGTGCTGCCCCTAGAATTTTGGTTGCACTTCGCGACTTAAATGGCCATGGTCGTGCAAACCAAGAACGGGACACCTCCACATAAGTTGTATAAAATTGTTCAGGTATGAGATGGAGCGCGTTCCGCACAATATTTTCCGAGTGTACAAACCCTAGCTTTGTTTGCATGAATGGATGGTATAAAAGGATGACCTAGACCCTATTCAAGCGTAGGTGGTGTTGGGCTTGTGGTTTGGCTGATGGTGGATAGGGGTGTTTCGCAGCAAAGTCTGCTTCTCAACAGCGGTTACAGGATTCCGCAACTTGGCTTTGGAACCTTTGATGTGATAAGGCCCGCTTTTATTGATTGCGAGTTAAGTGTAGGCTGCCAAAGAAGTTGTGACAAATGCTGTGGAATTGGCGCTCAGCGCTGGCTATCGCCACGTCGATTGTGCCATGATCTACGACAACGAGGCGGAAATTGGGAAGGGTCTAGTGGCTGCTATGAGGAATCTCAAGTTGGAACGTGAAGACATTTTTGTCACCTCAAAGGTATTTGCGTATTGTTGAGTCACGCTGGCGGTGGTGTGTAGCTTTGGTGTGACAATCATGCGCCAGAAGATGTCCACAAGGCCTGCGAACTGTCGGTCAAGCGGCTTGGTCTGGAGTATTTGGACCTTTACCTGGTACACTTCCCTGCGTCCTTCAGATCCAAGGAGGACAAGCTATTCGACCCGTTTGACTCGAACTCAGTTGTGTTTGAATACCATAGACTTGAGGACACTTGGAAGGTAGATGTGTGTAAGTAGCACTAACGCGTCCCCCTAGGCCATGGAGGAGCTAGTGTCGACTGGACTCGTCAAGTCGATTGGGGTGTCCAACTTTAACAAACGGCAAATGGAACGCATTTTGGCATCATGTACTATTCCGCCGGCAGTGAATCAAGTTGAAGTTAATATTAACTGGCTCAACACGAAGCTGATTGAGTTTTGTCACTCGAGGAATATTGTGGTAGAGGGGTATTCACCCCTGGGTTCGCCCGGTTTCCTGAGTAGGTCAATGTATGTCGACACTACTGATTTGCACAATGTTTGTGCAAGTGGTGTCAAGTGGTATCACTTGCATGATTCTTGTAGGGGCAAGATGAAGTCGCTGTTGGAGGAGGAGGCTGTGTTTGAGATTGCGCTGAAGCATAGGAAGACACCGGCACAAGTTTTGCTGCGTCATGGCTTGCAGAGAGGCATCGTTGTTCTGGTGAAGAGTGTCACTCCTGAGCGCATAAAGACGAATTTCGATGTAAGTTGCGAATGGATGAGTCTCGATTGAGGTGGATGGTTGTTGGCACTCATTGAATTGGTGTAATATTTGTTTGTGCTATTTGAGGTGTTTGACTTCGAACTGACTGATGAGGAGGTGGACAGGTTGAACAAGGCTGGTTCGAACGAACGGCTTGTGGTGGTACCGGCGTGAGTCATGTGCATTATGTTTGGGACTAGATGCAGCACTGTGTCAGCATATTAAGTAGTATTGTTATGGAAGATCATGCATCTGACGATTTTATATCTTCCTATTTTTGTAGTTTGAAGGGACATCCGGATTACCCATTCGACGATGAATTTTAATGCGTCAAGAGTCTCCTTATTTTGTACCCTAACGCTTGTGCTGACTTTGGCGTTTGATTGCTCCTCTACTGCCCTGATATCGTCGCCTTGGTGAGAGACAAAATAGGCTTGATTGAATGGGCGAGACGCAGCCCACCTCGTGTTTCTGTCGATGTCAGTGCGATGGATGATGCCCTGTGTGGGTTGGAATGAAGGGGGAGTACTGACGTTGATACGTGTTGAGGTAGTTTGTATTGGTTGGGTGTGTCGCTGTTTGGAGGCGATGTCTAGGGTATTTGCGAAGCATTATATGAGGGTGGAAGGCATCGTGGAGGTAGATGCTAGTCGGCTGATGTCGTGTCTATCGAGCGCACGTGACCAGATCGTTTGTAGTAGTCAGTTCTTCTCCTACCTCCACTTCGGATCATCAAGGTAGTGTGGAAGTTGGTCTACGTGAGACTCACTGCAGTGTAGTCATGCGAGGTGGTTGTATTGAGGCGAGTTGGACAGTCAGCGTTTGCTGCTTGTATCCACCTTCCGCCTTCTCTTTCGCAAGCAGTTTGTCAGGATGTTGGGCTGTTCAAGCACTTAGACTACGATGGACGGTGAAGGTCATTGCTCATTCCATCGTTTGGTACTTTGAGTGGATGGGTGAGTGCAGTAGAGGCATTGGCATGATCGTGGGGGCCAGGTTAAGCGACTTGAGTGTATTATGGGTAGTTGCATGGGTAGGGAAAGGTAGCTGCATGAGTCTGCAGGCGGATCTCACTCAAGTGGTGGTGAAGGAGTGCTTAAGCATTTGCAGTGGTGTAGTGGGTGGAAGCGTGTAGGCGCACAAATGGTCGCATCACTTGTGTGGAGTGAGTTAAGTTGAATGGTTTAGAGTGGAGTGTCAAGGACGGTCGTCCCACGTGCCGTAAGATTGTGTCTGTGGTTTTGGTAGTGGAATGTAGGTCATTGTGAGCTCCCATTAACGACGCTTCCATCGCAGTCACTTCAATGTCTACGGAGAGAGCATAACTACGGGAACCACTGTTTGTGGCTTGGCAACATCGTTATTGCAATGCGAAGATACGAGGGTGCCACAGCATTCACATCGTTATTCGTGGCGACTTCCAGCATGGGCACCCGTATGGGTGAAGTCTGAGGTTGCATTCATGGATGGTTGATTGGGTTAGGCGGTGCTTAGTTGGTTGATGGGGGAGGAGCGCGTAGAGGCGAGAAATGAGGCACATATTCGCAGACAAAGATGCTTTTGATTAGAAAAGATGGGCTAGGTTATTTGGGGCGATGTGTTCCAGGGATCAATCGACCGGGGCCTCCTTTTCTTCGTCCGCTTGTATTATCTCCAGTCTTGTATAGTGATGCATAGGTCAAATTGATGCGCGAAACCAGTTGGAGGATACAGCAGAGGAAGCGGGTTGAAGTGGGTTAGTGGGTGAGAGAAAGAATGGGTGAAGGCGTGACTTATTGGCTGCGTTGTGGACAGCTTGTTACTGTGAGGCGAAGAAGACTTGGAGGCTTTCTGCACACTCGTAAGTCCGTGGATTTTTTTACCATTTCAGTCCACAGGCGCGTTGTAGGTCTACGAGGTGGCAGAATTCGTGCTAGCTATGACATCTGTTTACGTCCGTAGGCGTAGGGTAAATATTTAGACTTTGGTCGGTGCCTGGAGGAATGCAAAATGTGCAATGACAAACCAATGGTAACGTGGACTGTCAAAGTAGATTGGGAGGAGGGGTAATTGGTGGACCGGTGGGAGAGGTCTTGGGGAGAGGGGAGAGAGATAGTGAAGATAGAGAAGAGGAGAAATAAGGCGAGGGAGAAGGAGAGAAGGGATACAAATATGATCGGATGAAGAGGAGGGAGTGTTTTCTCACCTACGATTGGGTGGATTTCACACCTAGTCCGTACACTGTTGTGGCAGAATTTTATCACGTGTGTATGTGTGTGTGTTCACAGAGCACTTTGGGCACTACGAGACCTTCTCATCCTGCAGAGCACAGAAGTGAATGTGGAACCCAGTGATGTGACCATCCTCTCCCTACTGCAGCCAAATGCACTGCAACTCCTCCCCCTTCCCCTTCCTCCCTCTTGTCCCATCAAATGACCTTGAACATCATGTTACAAATACTGATCTACCATCAAACTAATAAAGGGGGACACAACTTCGCTCCAGAGCCTGACAGCACACCTTTCAGATGCAAATGGAATGGGAGTGTTGTCCTCCTCCTGGTAATTGACTCACGTAAACCAACTGTTGCACCGTTTACGGGGGCTAGAATGGGGAAAGGGCAGATCCCTTTGGCAATGCTAGCTCAAGTGAGCAGCATTGCTGTCCCACGAGGACTTCAGCAAACTCATCACTACCAGCCTCGAGCAAGTGCACACCAGCAGTGCCTCATCATACATACGAACAGGGAGTGACGTAGGCGACATAACCCCAACTCGGAGGCTCACTCCTAAACGCCACTCCCTGTAGTCATATCCTCACTGTCGCAACAACAACAGCTCTCCACGCTCCCCTCACCTAAGTCGAAGTTCACCAAACTGATCCTATCAAATATTAACACATCATCATGACGCCAGTTTAAGTATTCTATTTGATGCGTTAAGGCGCGTTGTATGATCATTGCTCTATGACGAAGGAGGCAAGCAATCAAGCAAGCAAGTAAGCAGTAATGAAGGTCCGACCGGCAGCATTACAACGCACAGTGGAGGCACCATCAGCAACCATCTTTGAACGCGTACTCCGGGTGCTTGGTGAGGCTAAAAGGTACAAAGGGATGGGCACAGACAGGAAAGGCACACACCTCCCTACGACCCTGGAGTTGGGGGACACACACACCGTACCCGACCACTTACGCTAATGCACGAAAAACGCGTTTGTTGACACCGATGCTATTGAGTTTCGCCATCTCCCCATCCGTTAGCTCGAAATCAAACACCTTCAAAGACACAAACAAATGACGTAAGCACACGATGTGGCAACATGGTGTAACAATCAACCACCCGACAGTGCTGTCCCAACTTCAGACTCACATCAAAATTCGACTTTATGCGTTCCGGAGTGACACTTTTCACGAGGACAACAATACCCCGCTGCAGTCCGTGTCGCAGTAACACCTGTGCAGGTGTCTTATTGTGTTTGCGCGCAATCGCCACAACACTCTCCTCCTCCAGCACCGGCTTCACCTGACCTCTACAAGGAGCGAGAATGACCAGTCATCTGAACTAACATCACGCAAACGAAGTAGCAAAGCGCCCGAGCACAGACTTACTTCACAAAACCAGTAGACCCGAGGGGTGCATACCCCTCAACCACTATGTTCCTCGAGTGACAAAACTCGATCAGCTCCGTATTCAGCCAGTGAACATTGACCTCCACCTGATTCACTGCCGGCACGATTGTGCACGATGCTAAAATACGCTCCATCTGTCTTTTGTTAAAATTTGAAACACCAATCGATTTGACTAATCCTGCTGACACCAACTCCTCCATTGCCTACAAAACACTCCCACTCCTCCTCCCACAAACCTACCCTCCACGTATCCTCAATCTTGTGGTATTCAAACACGACTGTGCTCGGGTCAGCATTGTTGAATGCAACACCTTCTTTGACTTTAAACGACTCGGGACGGTGTATCAAGTACAGATCCAAATATCCCACACCAAGATCACTTATCGACACTTCGCACGCTTTGCGCACATCCTCAGGCGCGTGCTTATCACACCAAAGCTACACTCACTACATAGCACATTTCGCCCAACAAGATACTACCTTTGAAGTCACAAATACGTCTTCACGTTTTAAGTTCAGCTTCTTCATCGATGCCGCAATTGCAGCCCCAACCTCCTTTTCATTGGCATAGAGTCTGGCACCATCGATATGCCGATACCCAACACTGAGGGCCACTTCCACGGCGTTTGTCACGAGCTCCTTAGGAGCCTACAATCTACATGAAGTGGACGAAAGCACACCACGTTACATCAAAAGTTCCAAAGCCAAGCCGTGGAATCTCGTACCCACTGTTAAGACGCAGACATCGATTCGCAATCATCTACTTGCACACTGAAAGAACCACCAACCGTACGACACACCTGTTGGAAAGGCGTCTAGGTCAGTGCGCATGCATCGCTGGACCATATAAACGAACAAGAGAGGACGGAGCGCCTTGCGGAGATCGTAAGAAAGTTGTCGTTCACAATGATAGCATTTACAAACAGTCTCGTCTTTTTAGGGGGATCGAGGTTGTTGTTATCAATTGTCCTTGCATTCATAATGGATATTCATGTGACCGCCCTGACGATTGGGACTGAGAGCAGAAAGACCTTGTGCCACCAGCGCCATGGCAACGTGGCGATGGAAGCAGTAGTCCACACAATTGGGGCACCCTATTGGAAGTGTGCCTACATTGCGCATGTTGTAAGCATTGAACAATGTGAGCTTCGGAAACTCCTCACTCACCTACCTGTATGCTACGCATCTATCACAATCGCTGCCACAAAGACGAGAAACTCAGTGTGC